CATAGCCTGCGGCCTGTGTTAGTCTAAAACATCAAAACCAACAAATTATAAATCCACAAATTCAAGAATTTTAAATAAAATAGCTATAGTCTTAATATTAATGCTAATATCTAACCTTCTCGAATGGCGATACAATTTGCTGAAGCTCACGAGAATAGGTCTTAAGCCTTGTATTAACTAAGTTTACTAGATTAGTATTTAAGCATTGTTCAAAACTTTTTTTCAAGTTTGATTGTGCTCCCTTAACTCAAATAATGTCTATGTCCGCCACTGTGGGACAATAAATACTTCAAGTATCTAACATACATAGTCTGGTTGGTATGTCAAAAGGAATAGCAATACCAAAAGTCAGACAATAAAAAAATAACTGTACGATTGAGTTAGATTCGATATTGTGTTAAGTAGTCCAAAATACCTTCTAGAGATTTTTGACATAACATGTACAAAAACTTCAAGAATATGATAATATAAACTAAATTGATAAAACTTCATGGGTGGAGTGGGGGCTATTTCGACTTTCTCAACACAAGCAATTCGGCAACCTCTCGATTGCATATTTGTATGGTTGAATAGCCATTTTAGAATGTGCCACCACCTTCATGTAAGAAGATTTCGACATCTCGTTGATCTTCTTGTTATAGCTATAAATTAAGTAGTATGCAAGCGGTAGAAGAGATCCCACATTAGCTAACTAGACAGTGATTATGTTAATTGGATTGGAAAGATCAAATCAAACCTCTTCTTTGGCTTGAATTCGGTCTACTAAACCTATCTTGGTCCATTTCTCTCCCTATATAAGGTGAATCCATTCACACTTGGTATGTCCTCTAAACCACAGCAAAATCCGCCTCACCAATCTCTCTTTCTATCTTTTGTTCTGATAGATGATTTGACCGTTTGAATGTAGACGGTTGTCGAATTTTTTCTAGGATGGTGACCTTTGCATTCTAACGATGTATTCCAATGTGCAAGTAATGGATAGGTGGAAGAAAAGGTGGTCAAGATTCTGTTGACCACTTGATCAGAAAGATTTTGAGGTCAGCCGTTCCTGTGAAAGAAATATTTAGCATGCTTGTGTGCCACGATCTGCAATAACCAAAAATTAATTGAAAAATAAATTTAAAAAAAAAAACTTGAAAATTGATTCACATACTAAAAAGGGAAATCTATAGAGACTATTTCTTTCCGTTTAAAATCTGCAATAACCTGACTGTCCCAATTGGTATTGGTATAGGTATAATCAAATTAAAAAAAATTAAAATATTATTTAATATGTTTCTATAATAAAATACAAAAAATTATGTTTTTATCAATGATTTTTTTTTTTTATATTAAAAAAGTACTAATGAGCTTTAAAAAAGTCAAAATAAAATTAGAAAATCACAATTCCACTTCACGGTCCATTATCATTTTAGAGTTTCTTATTTTATGTGATATTATCTATTAGAAGTTCCATCATGTTATCCTGGGCTTCAAAAATAAATTGTATAGTTAAAACTGTAATACGAATTTTCTTATTGGGATTTCAAGCTTATAATTTTAGCGACAAAGGTGTTGATTATTATTAATACATATTAGTTCATGTAAATTCATATAAAATTATAACTTAATTAATAAATTGTAAAGAAATAATAATTTTGGAACCAATTTTCTGTAGCTAAAATCTCTAACCGAATTAGAGCCGTAGGATTCTTTGTTTTAAGACTAAGACTAGAGTGGACTAGACCATTTCCTTAAACCCAAACTAAATTGTTGTACGATTAGTGTAATTCCAAATAAAATTTCCAATTCATGAGAAGTTCGTCGTTCCTGTCCTTCCTTTTGTTTTTCTAATACTTTGTTAATATCTTCATTCTCAATTTTAAGGTTATCTTTTCTTTTTTAAAAGTTCAAATGCTTTGTATCAACTGGTTGAAAATGCTCCAAATTAACATAATTGAAGTCATACATAAAAGTAATCTTGCTAACGATCTATGATAATACGATTCCTATTTCCTTATCTTCATGGGAGAATTGTATCAGATGTTATTGACTCCAAATGCATCGGGAAAAAAGAATTTGTTGCATATTTTTCCTATTTCAGCTTGAAAGTTTCTTTCTCCTTGACGGATCACTTGAAGACCATGTCCAGAATTTTGGCAGCAGACGTTTTTAAAGCCCTTGGCCATGTTTGGTTGAGTGGAATGGAGAACAAAAGTTCAAAATCTTATCCATTAAGCTGTCTGATCCAATCCATTATCGTGTAACAAACACGCTTTATAATTTTTGGCAGAAAACGAAGGAAATGATCAATTACAGTCCAAGAAACACACAGATTGTGGGGGCATCACCTAAACTTCCTGCCAATATGTTTCAAGTAGTTTCACGGCAATTTCGCATATTTCACTGTTGTCATGAGTCTGGAGGTTCTTAATCTTCTGAAGACCCCCAGCATCATCAATCATCTGAGCAAAGACATTTGTATCTTCGGTGTTGTCTTGGTTCTTCTCAGCTTCTCCAACCTTCAGAATGTTCTCAAAGCCTTCCAAGCGGAGTTTTATGACACGTGCTTCGTTGGGACTAACTAGAAGATCGCACAATGACTTTATACAGCCCTCATGCACCAAGAACCTGTCACCAAGGTGAAGCATTAATTCTCGAACCTAAATGTACAATAAACTAAGAGAATATGACAATAGATGTTGAGAATTTACTTAATTTGCTCATTAGTTCCGTTAGTGATGGCAAAACAGAAAGCCCTAACAAGTGGTATCTTCATTGAAAAATCAGAGTTTTGAATCAGTTGGAGAAGAGGTGAAATAATGCCAGCCTCAATCACAGCCTGTGTATTAAGATGACAAACAGAAACAAAAGTACAAAAGTCAAATTCATCAAAACAAAGTACTAATACGAGACAAAAATTGTGAAAGACAGCAAGAGAAAAATCATCAGTCTTGATGTTCAAAACAATAATTGACTGGTGGAAACGAAAAATATCTTTACTCTTAGTCCTCGTTTGGTAGGGATTACAATTTAAGTCAAAGTTAATAGTAAATTTTAATCACATATTTTATAGGAACCACAACTTTTCAACCACACATTTAATCAACTTTATCAAAATTTACTAAAAACCTAAGTGTAATCCCCACCAAACAAGGGCTTAACATAATTCCTCCCCCTTCTCTATTTGGAAAAATATATATATAAAAATAAAAATGGCTTATTTATCTCAATGCAATAATTATGATGCATAGAGTAATATACACCACAAAGGCTAAAATCAATTTCATAGTAACTTGCATACCTGAATATGATCCTTAGTCCGTCGAATGATAGATGAAATGATCCCACAAGCGCTCGCCTTGACAACGTTCTCGTAATTTTGTGTCAACAAGTTAAGCAAGAAAGGAAGAGCCCCGTTATCAATGAAAACCTGGAAATCATTCAACCGAAGCAAGTTTGTAAAAAAAGATAACAAGGCTTCACATCCTTAATTATGGAGTCGGCATTGAAATTCTTACTAGAGTTCTTGAATAGTGGTCAAAGAGTATAAGGGTTGATTTCTAAGGATGATACCGAGTAAAAAATAAAATAAAATAAAAAAATCATCAAAGAATTGGATTGTATTTCCACCACTCAAAAGTATTTTCCTAGTCAAGGGAGATCCGTGGAGTATGTCACAATGGCACACCAAGATACACCCTCATACAACTTGAGAATGACAAATATGGTTCTGTTAAATGAATTCAATGTAGCCACACACTAGAAGATAATTGCAAAAGAATAAGAGAAATACCAAATTTGAACATGAATAGAATTGATAACCAATAAATATCTTTAACGATTATGATCTTTAAAAAATTCATTATGAAAAACAAAATCATCATAAAATAACTCTAACTCATGAGACAAGCTATCAAACTCTCAATATAAGTCTTTCCTTTTCACTTAGAAGTTAAGGAAAAGTTCAAGGACAAATGTATTTCAGAATAAAATATGCTTAAAAGTAAGTTGATCTATTCTCAACCTCACCTCAATTCTGTAAGAGGGGCATATGATGACAAAGGTAACAACACAAATAACTTTGAAATAATTCTTTCTTCAAAAATGTAACTATCAATCATCTTCCATCACATGAAGACTCACGATACGCATTTGTGTATACTCGAAACCACACCCTTGGCATTTCCTCGTCCCACAAATAAGCTGCAGAAAGTAACTTTTGAAATTTGTACGGTTTTAGGTTTCCTAGAGATGGTATGTGCTTCAAACGTGTTATAAGCATTGTGTCGAAATTGAACAAATATGGATCACGAATAAGACAAAAACAATGAGGATTGAAGCCATTCTTCTAATGATTATTTAGCAACAGAAGCAACAAGACTGTATTTACAAAATGAATATATCTGAACCATGAAGGACGAAGCAATGCATTTTTTGCATTATTGACAAGGACACACCTCCACCTAAGGTACATACAATACATAATGACTGGTAAGTACGTAGAACATCAAAACTGCTAAAAGACAAAATGGTCTACCTTACCATCTTAAATATGAAACAAGCAAAAAAGAGTTGGTTGTGAAATATAGTGGACATTTGATGGCCTACTATTTCAACAGTGAACATATCACATAACAAATTAATGTGCTGATGAGGAAGTTTTCAAATTAAGGTTAAGAACAAGAGTTGTCTGATACCTGAATCTGGATAACATCTACATATGGAATAATATTAGCAACAGTGTACAAGGCAGGACGCAAAAATTGATGTGAAGGAAATCTGCAAACCAATAGACTGAATTACTGCAGGTATGACGTTCAAGAAACAAAACCAAAGTAAAAAAAAATCAAAGAACAAGGAACGTTATCAAGTAGGATTTTTTCACTGACAGTAAAAGTTCAACCAAACGAGGAAAAACACCAGCATCGATCACAGCTTGTTTTCCATCCATTTTCCCAAGAGATAGATTGGCTAGTGCCCAGCATGCACCTTGAAGGACTTCATCATCTTCTGTATGAATCAGATGAGCAAGAGGAAGGATGGCAGGTTTCATCTGCTCAGTAATATCCGGAAAGAATTGGTTAAATATATAAAGGTAAGCCGTATTGATATGCATCAAAACTGAACAGAAGAGCAATTAGAACTTAGAAGATAAACCTGCTCAAACTGAGGCTTTGGCTTTCCAGCACAAAGCAATGAAAATGTCCACATCGCCTTTCTCGTGATGTGAAGTTTTGTTTTGTCATTAAATTGTGCCAATCAGGGTATTAACACTCCATAACTAAGGACAAGATCACGAGATTTTGTTGAGTCAAAGGCAAATTTTCCTTAGTTATTGTTTGGTAGGGATTTTGGAAACGAAAAATGTCTTTACTCTTAGTCCTTGTTTTATAGGGATTAAAATTTAAGTCAAAGTTAACAATAAATTTTAATCACATATTTTATCGGAACCACAACTTTTCAACAACACATTTGATCAACTTTATCAAAATTTACTAAAAACCTAATTGTAATCCCCAGCAAGCAAGGGCTTAACATAATTCCTCCCCCTTCTCTATTTGGAAAAATATATGTATAAAAATAAAAATGGCTTATTTATCTCAATGCAATAATTGTGATGCATAGAGTAACATATACCACAAAGGCTAAAACGAATTTCATATTAAATTGCATACCTGAATATGATCCTTAGTCCGTCGAATGATAGATGAAATGATACCACAAGCGTTCCCCTTGACAACGTTCTCGTAATTTTGTGTCAACAAGTTAAGCAGGAAAGGAAGAGCCCCGTTATCAATGAAAACCTGGAAATCATTCAACCGAAGCAAGTTTGTAAAAAAAGATAACAAGGCTTCACATCCTTAATTATGGAGTCGGCATTGAAATTCTTACTAGAGTTCTTGAATAGTGGTCAAAGAGTGTAAGGGTTGATTTCTAAGGATGATACCGAGTAAAAAAAAAAAAAAAGTCATCAAAGAATTGGATTGTATCTTTGTATTTCCACCACTCAAAAGTATTTTCCTAGCCAAGGGGGATCCGTGAAGTATGTCACAATGGCAAACCAACATACACCCTCATACAACTTGAGAATGACAAATATGGTTCTGTTAAATGAATTCAATGTAGCCACACAATAGAGGATAATTGCAAAAGATTAAGAGAAATACCAAATTTGAACATGAATAGAATTGATAACCAATAAATATCTTTAACGATTATGATTCTTGTTAGGTCTAAAAGTGTGATTGGCAATTCTATAGACAAATGGGCTTAATTGTATCTTTGTAAAAATCAGGGACTCAATTGAACATTGTTGTAAAAGTCATGGCTTAGGGTGTAATTTAGTATAGATGAGGTAAATTAGTGTTCGAGTCATTAAAGGAATCCAATATGTCCAAGAAGATCACATAAGATCATCTGAATGCAATTGGAAGTCTAAAGTATATCAAAGAGCCGCATAAAAACTGTTCCAAATTTTCAATTGTAACTTGCAAGGTATTTTTTCACATGGAAAATGTTAGAATTTGGACAAGGCTATTTCAGAAGAATTGTAGCCCTTCGAGTTATCTTTCCAACATAACTTGAATCACCTCAATCGGACATCGGGAGAAAAAGTTATGATAAAAATACTGGCAACTGCTCAATTGTCGCTCGCTCTTCGCTGGCTCCTCGCTCGAGCGACGGTGTTATGTGGCCAAAACCTAGGTCGCGATTTTGAGAGTTCTTTAAAAAATTCATTATGAAAAACAAAATCATCATAAAATAACTCT